AAGCATGGACAGTTGTTCCACGTTAAAAATCATTTTTCTATTCCTAAGGGCACATTTAACCTGCATCGTGAAAAGGCTCCAATAGAGCACGGAATTCTGTTTTTCAGGGGCTCACCTGGCACCTGAAAACCATTTCTGCTGAAGAGCGACCTGCACAGGTGTGTGCTGAGGTGCACGGTCTGGTAGGCTGAGGGGCACAGGTATTGGAGGGCCTTGCTGGGGATCACGTGATGTCACCCCCCATGTCCAGTTGTAACGAAAGGTCTTTTTTGTTTCTCAATTTTCTGCTGTTTAAAAAAACAAAAAACTGGTCATACACATGGAGAAAAATAACTGGCAAAGTTGAATTAACAGAAAACACCGAGTGCGCTCTGAGTGGCACTGAGAAAAGGACCCCCAGGGGAAGTGACCTTGAACTCTGGGGAGGCGGTGAGCAGAGTGTGTAAGCAGCAGCGACGGGGACCATGGTCGAGTTCACGGGCACGCGGGAAGAAGGCTCACGGCAGGTGTGTGGCGGGCTCCCCCGTCGGGGCCAGGACCCAGGCTTGGTGGGAAGGGGGAGCTCCTGGAGTCTGCCACAGAGGCTGAGAGTGCGCGTGGAAAACAGCGGAGAGCAGCAGTCTGGCTGTGAGGTCGGGCTGGCTGGAATGGAGTGACCATCTTGAAGCTCGGAAAGCGGAGGGTGGAGACCAGGACCGAGTGGGGGCCAGCCCTGAGCAGGCAGGAGTGCCGCCATTGCTGCTCTGTCGCCGATTCTGTTTGTGCCTGAAGTTTGATAGTCCACGGACGCCGTCAGCAGCTCCTACAGTGAACAGCTCTCCCCACGGCACAGGACGAGGTCACTCCTCCTTCAGATCAGCACCTGGTCACCCCCAGTTCAAGAAAGTCAGAAGGAAGAGGGCCTCTAGGCCAGGATGGGGCAGTATTGAGCACAGGGGCTCTTTTCCCCCAGGGAAACCAGCGGTGGCCTTCCGCTCAGGAGGGAGGTGGAAATGCAGCATCGGGTGGAGGTTCCCAGAGTCTGGGAGGGTGGGGCAGGGGCAGGGGTCCCTGGGGACAGGTTACAGTTAGACAGAAGGTTCTAGACTGCTGCCGTTCCATCCGGAATGTCCCTCAAAGGCTCAGGTGTTAGACTTCCATCTCGTCTGGTGCCACTGTTGGGAGGAGATGGAAACTTCAGGAAGCGGAACTTGGTTGGAGGAAGTGGGGGTCTCTCTCGTCCCCCCTCTCTGTCTCCTTGCTGGCCACCATGGAGCGGCAACCTCTTCTCCACCACGCACATCCACCACGGTGTGCCACCTCTTTGTGGGCCCATAGTGACAGGGTCAGGTGACCAGGGACTGACACCTGCAAACAAGAAGCCGAAGTAAACCTTTCCTCCTCGAGGTTTATCTTCTCAGGCATTTTTGTCACAGCAACAAAAAGCTTATCAGCACAGTGACTGTCAACAGGGTGTTGTACATTTTAAAATAAGGGGGTTTTGAAAGTTTCCACCACAAACAGAGGATAACTGACGTGGATACGCCGATTACCCAGATTTGATCAGTGCACATTTTACACATGTGTCAAAACATCACACCATGCCACGGATATTATTAGAAATGAAATAAACAAACCAAAATGAGCCTTGTACTTCAGAGGGCCTCTAGAGGACCCCAGGACCTTGTGACAACCTGCTCTGTCTTCTGTCGATGCACTTGAACCTGAGATTCAGGCCGAATCACCTGCAGAGTGGAGCTATTACTAAGAAACCAGTGAACTTTCAAAGAAAATGAGGTTCTGATTTATATGGATCAAAAGATGGTTGTTAGCATTTCATTTAAAATATCCTTCCTTTAAAAAGTTATTTAGTTGGAGCTCTTGGTGGACTGAAGCTACCTGAAGAGGGACATGGGGACCTGGAGGGGGTATGAGCAATCAGGGACAGTCACACAGCAAGGGGCACATGAGGTACTTCTGTGAGGACAGGTGAGAGTGGTCAGGGGTGTGGGGAGGCCACAGGGGGCGTGAAGTGGGCCCAGGAAAGGGGGGGTGTCCGCGGCAGCCCTGGTGAGGTCCAGAGAGCCGAGGATGGGATGCCCAGAGTGAGCCTCATGGCAGGGGCACTGGCAGCCTGGAGGGGCACAGTCTGTGCGCACAGGAGGGAGGCCGTGGGAGGAGGTGTACGGTCAGGTGTGTGGGGTCAGAGGTGAAGGTCAGCAGCTGCAGGTGAAGCCTGTCGTGGTGCAGGGTGAGGACCATGCACACAGCCCTTGGGAGTCACTCCTGGGAGAACACAAGACTGCACAAGGTCCCCTGTGTCCCTTGCTGGGCACTGCCAGGGGATCCACATGTGGGCAGGCAGCAGATGGACGCTGTGGTCTCCCCAAGATGGCGGGAACAGCAGCACAGCAGGACAGCCTGCAGGGTGAAAGGAGGTAGGAGGGACAGTCCAGGCCCTACAGGCCCAGCACCCCTGGCCAGAAAAGTGTGGAGTGTGACAAGAGAGGACTGAGGGGCGGGGCCGAGCCTGGGCAGACACCACGGCGAGAGAACCAGGGAGGGGAAGAGTCAGAAGAGATGCACCTCCCAAAAGACACTCGGTCTCACCAGACGTCCCCTCCTTAAGAGCACCCTCAACCTGAGAACAAGTCAGACTGTGCCTTAAATTCTTAGAAACTTGTCGGACCAAGAAAAACCAGACGTTAACAGTCAAATACTATGAAAAGCCAGCAAAACAATGACTGTGCAGCTTATCACCCTGGACCAACCCCCGTCTCTGCAGGGCCGCTCAGAGTGAGGGTACTGTCCAGAGAAAACTCAGTGACTGCATCAGGTGGTGTCCTGTGCTGTGCAGCCAAGTCGAGGACAGTCCACATCCCAAGGGGTTGTTTCGTGTAATCACGTGGGGGCCTGCTATGTATCACGTGGGGTGTGTGTGTATATGTGATGTAGTCAGTGGATATGATGTGGCATGTGGTGCAGGCATGTACATGTGATGTAGGGTTTGGATGATGTGTGTATGGTGTGTATAGAGTGTGTTATGTGTGTAGTATGTGTGGTATATGTGTATGTGATGTGTATGTATGCGATGTGTGGGATGTGATGTGTGTGGTATGTGTGCAATTGTGCTGCGTGGAGCATGTTTGGTGATGAGTGGGGTGTATGGTGTTTGTGTTGTATGTATGTTGTATGATGTGTGTATGTAAGACACATGTATACATGATGTGTGATTGTGATATGTATGTTGTGTGAATGATGGTTGATGTGTGTATGTGTGTGGTGTATTGTGTTGTAGGTGTGGAGTGTTGTCTGTTTGAATTTGATGGTTGATGTGTGTATGTGAGTGGTGTGTTGTGTTGTAGGTGTGGTGTGTTGTCTATTATGTGTGTGAAGTCTGTGACATGTATATGATGTGTGTATGTTGTGTGGTGAATATGTGATATGTGGCATGTTTATGGAGTGTGTATGATGTGGGGGTGGTGTATGGGTGATGTGCATGACATGCGTGTTGTGTTTGTGGGTTGTGTGTGGGTTTGGTGTATTTGTAGGGTACCTGTGTATGTGATGCAGTGTGTATGTCGTATATGTGCGTGTGATGTGTGTGTGGTATGTGTGTGTGTGGAGTCTGGAGAACACGAAGGGGCCAGTGCTTTCTCCCCAGATGAACAGTGAGGCCATCTGGATAGTCTCCTTCCATGACCAGTCTCTTTAGTTTAAAATACACGCCTCTGTGGATACCTCCTGGACGTCTCATTTACAAAGCTCCATGTTAAAACTGCATCTGCACCAGGTGCAGTAGTGAATGCCTGGAATCATAGTGGCTCAGGAGGCTGAGGCAGGAGGGTTGCAGATTCAAAGCCAACCTCAGAAATTTAGCAAGTCCCTAAGCAACTCAGAGACCCTGTCTCTAAAATCCAGTGAAGTGTTGGGGATGCGGCTCAGTGGTTGAGCACCCTTGGATTCAGTCCCTGGTATCAATCAATCTGTCAATCCATCACCTTTGTCTGCAGCTCCGTTTCCCCTCTGCAGTGTGTGCTGGCACCGGGGGCAGTACCTTCCTGCTCAGTTGTCCTTGTAGCTGTGAGCCTGTACTATCTATCACCCATGCATTGGAGGCGCCCTGGTCACCTGGGAAGCCATGTGACAAAGGGAGGCGGTGGAGTGGAATGAGTGGGGTCGGGGCATACTGTTCCCACGCTCCAGCAAACTGCAGGAGGATGTGGCTCGGGTGCCTCAGGCAGCTGCTGCCTGGTCACCACCCCAGACCATGGGTGGGGGGGCCTGTGGTGACAGGAGGGGACAGTGTTCCATGGTCACAGATGAGGCCCCCACGGCTGCTCTCTGGATTTCAACTCCCCCGGGGGCTATCTGGAGTCACCTCTGAGTTCAGATAGAGAGGAAAGGTGGGCTGGGGTGTGGCTCAAGCAGTAGCGCGCCCTCCTGGCATGCGTGTGGCCCGGGTTCGATCCTCAGCACCACATAGCAACAAAGATGTCGTGTCCGCCGAGAACTAAAAAATAAATATTAAAAAAAAAAAAAGAGAGTAAAGGAGTTCAGCAGCATCTTCACTGGCAACGCGTCCTGCAAAAATAAAAAATCGTCGCCATCTCCAAAGCAACCCCGGCTTTACGCTTGTGTGGGTCTCCGCTCCTGGGTGCTGCCGTCCACCCACACGGGGAGTGCCTGAGCCTGTTTTGCAATGACACTTCTGTGTACTTCTCTTTTTTAGTAGGTTTCTTCTTAAAATTTTTTGTCCCCCACAAAAAAAAAAAAAAAGTGAACTTGGTGACTTTGGCCAAAGGCTGTGATTGGGGTTAATTCTGCAGAGGGCGGGTGGGAACCGTAAGTCGTGTGAGCAGAAAGGACAGTGCGCGATGGGAAGTCCAGAGAGGGAAGCACCTCCATTCTGAGCTGGGAGGACCTGTCTCCAGCTGGCAAGGGTTCAGGGGGATTCAGCCCACATTTCTCGCAGCTTGAGTTGCTCACTGCAGTCTTCTCATCTCTGTCTTGTCCCCAGGTGTCTCCCTGCCTGGGCCCCGTCCCTTCCTGAGGAGACGGCGCAGGCATGGCCAACAGCCCAGCAGAGAGCGCCAACCACCTGCCCTTCTTTTTTGGCAACATCACTCGGGAGGAGGCCGAAGACTACCTGGTCCAGGGGGGCATGACAGATGGGCTCTACCTGCTGCGTCAGAGTCGCAATTACCTGGGTGGCTTTGCCCTGTCGGTGGCTCACGGCAGGAAGGCACACCACTACACCATCGAGAGGGAGATCAATGGCACCTACGCCATCTCGGGTGGCAGGAACCACAGCAGCCCTGCTGACCTCTGCCAGTACCACTCGCAGGAATCCGATGGCCTCATCTGCCTTCTCACAAAACCCTTCAACCGGCCCCCCGGAGTGCAGCCCAAGACGGGGCCCTTCGAGGACCTGAAGGAGAACCTCATCAGGGAATATGTGAAGCAGACATGGAACCTGCAGGTGGGTCTCGGTGGGACCTGCACCTGTGTTCATGGGAACCTGGGGTCCCACACAGATGTCCCCAGGACATGCAAACCTCGTGTGCCCAGACGAGCACCCAACTCCTTGACCATTAATGTTAGCCAAAAAGCGGCTGACTCTAGGAAGACTCCCGTTCCTCCTTTCTACCCACCGCTGAGGCAGGGAAACTTCATGCCCGGGATGTGGCTTTCTGCACTACAGGAGATGTTGCCACCAAGTTCATGGAGGGACTTTTCAAAGAGACATTGATATTTACCTAACAGGGTCCTGCCATGCACAACAATTGGCCCTTGAATTTACAGCTTCTTACTGTCTCTCGCTGAACGTTCTGTCTCACACACACATAGCTGCCCCACCCTTTCCTTGGCCACCTGGCATTGCCCACTGGGCACGATGATTTATGTAACCAGTATCCACTGATGAACCCTTTTATCAGTTATAAATACTGCTGCTCATGATATCACTCTATGCCAACACTAAGCTGGATTGCAATATCTCTGGTACAAAGCCCAAGAGGCCAGGTTTGCCACGGCAGAGGAGGCTTGTGTTTAATTTGGACACATGCACAAAAGTCTGCCTCTGGAAAGTTGGCAAAGGTGTCCACATTCTTACCCACCCTCCCTGCTCTTCTCAGCGACACATTTGGGGTGGTTTTATTTTTATTTTCACTTCTTGGGTTTTTCTTGATTAATGCAAATTCAAACACTGGCTTCTTCGTTAGTAACTCTTGAAAAGATTGGTTTCTTTCCCTCTAAGAAAGACAAGGTAGTTGATTCACTAGGCTCTCCGCCAAGTTTTCCATCTTTGGTTTGCATCTCGCTTTGCCCACAGGGGCAAGAGTTTTCCCCTGTGCTTTCTGTGATGACGCTTCCTACAGGTACAGGGTCAGTGAGGTGCCCAGTGTAACTAGGTAAAGGGGACCGGACACCTCAGGTGCCTTCCTGGTTCACCTCTTAGGGCTTCTTGACCTAAGACCTTCTTGGAATAACCGGGTTCTATCATAGAACTGTCTACCTAGCGGATGATTTGGTTTTCTGGGCCTCGGTGTTTGTACCAGGTGGTATTCAACGTTTTGTCTGGTTTTGAAAAGGCCAAACTCTCTCTTCCAAAACATCTTTCTTATTTATACACTTGAAGGTATTTAAGGCACCCTCAAGATCCTACCGTTTGTTTTTATCTGAATGAATAAATGATTGGATGGATGGGATCTGATCCTCCTTGGCCACATTGGAGCTCACCACACATCAGACAGGGCTTGTGTGGTTTTTTCCCCATTCCTACCTGGTGTGGCTCATTCTCTCTCCCTGGTCACACAGGGCCAGGCTCTGGAACAGGCCATCATCAGCCAGAAGCCCCAGCTGGAGAAGCTGATCGCCACCACGGCCCACGAAAAGATGCCCTGGTTCCACGGGAACATCTCTCGGGACGAATCTGAGCAGATTGTCCTGATAGGATCCAAGACGAATGGAAAATTTTTGTAAGTGTTATGTCTGTTCGCCTCACCTTCTACCTCTGGGCTTGCTTGGACAGTTAAGGGGAACTCGCTTCCCCGTGAGTAGACTCCATGTGACCCCAGGAAGGGGTCACATGTTTTCATCTGGTGACGCATGTGCTGACCTGTCCTAAGGACACTTCATATTAAACTATTAACCGTGACCCCGTGTGTTTTGCCTGGTGTGTCCCTGAAGTGCACACCCTTCTTGGGTGTAGAGGGACTCCATGTTTAAAGAAAATGGCGTTCAGCCACAGACAGTTGAATAATCCTTATCCAAAATGCTTGAGGCCAGAAGTGCCTTGGATTTCTGATATTTTTTTTTTCTAATTTTGGAAATATCTTGGGAAATACACATTGTGTCAGGTTGTATAAGAGAATCTCAGATGGTATTTTCGGTGCGCCCATTCTGACCCATTACGTAAGACCAGGCGTGAAGTTTTGCACTTCTGGTAACATGTTCAAGCTCCCAAGTTTCAGATTTTGGAACATTTCAGATTTTCAGCTCAGAGAGGATCAACCTGAATTCCACTTCTCATGGCAAATATGGGGAGCACAGACAATGTCTGTGATCATGGAACAGAAAGGCAAACAGAAATCTGTTCCTTCAGATCCTCCCACCCCCAACCTCAGACTGGACTTCTATTTTTTTCTTGGAACTAAGTGCTAACAGGGTAGATTTTTTCTTTTTTGTTTCCAAAAAGATTCCTGGGCGTAGTTTATATAAACAGTGATTATAGCTATTTAATCAGAATGGGTTTGCGGACTTCAGCTTTATAATCTCAAACATCAGAAGGTATGAATCCTGGGTTCTGTTGCTCGTGGTCTTTTTTGGGTCAGTGTAAACCTGAATTTGAGAAGGGCCTTGGAGGAGCGGGCCAGCTGGGTGGAGTCATGGTCCAGAAAGGCTGAGATCTGTTTTGGGGTGAAAGCACCTGTCTCCCCAGGTGCTCTGGCAAGATGAAAGGGCAGAGGGTTGCTGGCAGAGAGAAGGCTCCTGTGTGTTTGTCACAACTCAGTATTCCCAACAGAGATGCTTCCCGGGGACCACAGAGGACCCCATTCTTGCCTCAGAAACTGAACCAGAAACAGTGAGGTAATCTCGTGGTCAGGCACATTGATGAACGCCGGGCAGACTCTGTCAACTTTTTCTAGAAACAGAAGTGTATTCCCTGAGTATCCACCTATTTAAAGAATCTTTCTCATGGTTCTGATTTTTTAAAATGATTTTAAACACAAACTTAAAAAAAATAAAAGAGTAGCCCAGGCTGAGATGCATGGTGTCAGATTGTGACTTTCGGGTGATGCAGCCTCAGCCGCTGGCACTGATGGTGTGCAGAAGAAACGGTGCTTGCCCTCCGTGTAGACACCTGGAAGCTCATTTTCTCAGTTTGGACTTTTTCCATTTCCTCCGCAATGATTTCCAACACACATGGCACAGGACTGCATTCTTCATGTACTGAGTGCCCGAGGGACAAGCCCCAGAGACAAGGCCTTCTGGCTCTTTGCTAAGAGGACCTGTTCTTAGACTCTTTGGGAAATAACCATGGAGCACATTTTATTTCTCAAAGTTACCTGTTGCTGAAAAAAGTGTTTGCACCCTACATGGGCCCGAGTCCTGTTCTCACCTTCTTTCTTCAAGGCCATGTATGAACTCCATGCAGAAGACAGGGGACCCGGTGTGCATCCTTGTCTGTCTGCTGCACAGGCTGACATCCCATGCACCCTCGTGCTCCTGGGGCTCACAGGTAACATAGGAGCGTCTCAGAACCACTGTGCATCTGCATCAGCCGATATTAGAGCTCATGAGGTGCAGGGCCCCCTGGAGCGGGCTTTTCTCTCTCCACTAACTTTCAGTGTTCCTTCTCCAACATCCACATTTTCAAAGTCCCCCCAGTCAACTCTATAACTGGGTTCTTTTTTTTTTTGGTGGGAGAGGGGTACCAGGGATTGAACCAGAGGCTCTTAACCACGGAGCCATGTCCCCAGCCCTTTTTCACATTTTATTTTGAGACAGAATCTTGCTGAGTTGTTGAGGGCCTTGCTAAACTGCTGAGGCTGGCTCTGGACTTGCCATCCTCCTACCCTCCTGCCTCAGCCTCCCGAGTCATTAGGATCACAGGTGTGTGCCAGCGCAGCCAGTGAGGGACTGGGGTCCTGCTCTGCCTTACACGGAGATCTCCAATCTCTTGGATGCTACCTTGCTCGTTGCCCACACCCCAGCCCCCACTCCCTCCTGGCGCTGCCAAACATGCTGGGTTGCCCACCATCAGCACCCTTCAGTTCAGGCCTTGTGTCAGGGAGGTTACTATCGAGAGGCAGGGGCCCATGGTGGAGCTGGAGAGTCCCACTTCACAACCAAGGTTCCAATGCCAATGGTGGGACCTGGGACTACGGGATGAGCTTCCTGAGGCTCAGCTTGTCTGGGTCTGGGGTCAGTGCTGATGTCGCCTACTGTTGCCTTGCAGGTTCAAGGAAACACATGCCAAGCTCACAGCAGGGCATGGACTCTGGGTCCACACCAGTCTGCGTTTTTCTCTCTCCACTAACTTTTAGTGTTCCTTCTCCAACATTAGCACCAGGAAATTCCCGTCACTAGGAACCTTCATGGTTATTTGTTACAGATGAAATATAAAGAGGCATCCTAGAAACCTTTACTGTTGAAGGTTTTATTTTATGACAATGAGTCCTCCTGCAATACCTAAGTGGGGTGCTTGGTGGTGACCGAGTACATTTCTGCGGGACACTGGTGCACAGTGCTTGCGTGTCTGAATATGGGCTCGTGTACTTTTGTAGAATGTGAAGTTTCTAGCATCCTGATTTTGGCCCAGATCCTCCTTGTGTCTGGCACGGAGCAGGGTCTATGTCAACAAATGTGATGATTCTCCCAAGTCCGGTTGCCCCCACGCTGGTCCGGATTCCTTCACCTTGACAAGTGTCCGCTGGTGTTTATTTCGAGGGAAGTAGACCTGACAGACTCCGGTGACTCTTAGGAGCCAGCAGCAGGTCTTGAGGCTGCACATCTGCCATGAGTACTCCTGTCTTCAGTCTGTGACAGGCGTCTGTCCTACCTGCCCCTGTGGGGGTGCACCACGGTTGCAGGAGATCCCAAGCCTGGTTTTGAGTGATTCAGATCTGACCTGTCCTAAGATGTTCCTTCCTTCCAACAAATAGCCATGGCACAGGGTGTTTGAAGTCACAACTGGATTCCAGTCACGGCTGGGCATCCTCACTTAGAAAACGCGGGTGTCACCAAGCTGTTGGTTTCTTCCTCCTGGTCCTTCCCAAGCCTTTATTTAGATTTTCCCAAAGAATGTGGCTGACATCTCCTCTCCTGTTATTGTATCTGCTAATCTACCCATGAACCAGCATTACTGGAGTCTGTAGTTCTGTAAAGCACCAAATACTGGGTGCCCTGAGGGGTTCTGCCATGGGAGAACTCAGCCCTGCAAGGATCTGCCTTTGTGGAGCCAGCTTCTTAGTGAGAGACACTGAACAGTTAGAAGTGCTCTCTACGGTCATCACTCCACATCCGTGGGGCGATTTGTTCCAGGATCCCTTTCAGATACCAAAACCCACCAGTGCATGAGTCTCTTGTATAAAATGGTACACTATCTGCACATAACTTCCCAGGTAGTCTAAATCCTCTTTACATAGCTTGTAATACCTAATGTAATGTGAATCTTGTGGAAAGAGTTGTTATTCCATGTTATTTGGGAAATAATGACAAGAACAAAGTCTGTGCATGCTCAGTACAGACTGATTTTTTTGTTGTTGTTGTTTTTGAAATAATTCAGTTTCCCAGTTGGTTGAACGAGTATTGGATGTGGAACCTGTGAATATGGAGAGCTGATAGTCTGTTGAGGGCACTGAACTAGGGTCCTGTTTTATGCCAGGTGGTGAGGGAGGGCCTCATTGCAAAGGAGAGACCTGTGGCCATAAGGATGCATCCCACCTGGGCTCTTGTGAGTGCCTCGAGGCAGGGGTGTGCTTGAGGGCTGGGCCCCCATGGGAGGCCAGCTAGATGGTGCAGAGGGAGGAGGGTAGGGGTGGAGGAGGAGGGATAACCTGGAAGGTCTCAGGCATTGGTAGGCTCTGCTCCAGGTGAGTTGGTGGGGCCACCTTTGGGATAGCTAGGGCCAGATGCACCAGGTGTTCAGGATGGTCTTTCTGCCTCTCATATCCTCAATAGGCTCTGGAGAGGAAGGGGCCCACCCTTCAGAGCCAGGCCGTGCGCATTCATGCATGCTGGAACAGTGGGGCAGAGTTTATTTTTTACTGTGACCTTGGGGTCTTTGCCTTCTCATGCCTGAGCACAGGAACTGTGTTTAATGCTTGTGGGAAGACAGGGTGGCCTGTGCCAAGCTCTGCTGCAGAGTCCCCAGGGCACAGTGCAGAATGTCCCTGGTGCCCCGTGTTCCGTGTCTGGGCTTCCAGCTCCGGGTGATAGGACCAGCTTCACGTTCCCTTTGAGTCCCTGTCCCTGCGTGGGGCGCTCAGGATGCTGGCTCTGCGTAAGGTGCGCAGGGCCCACACCCTTCTCCATTTGAGCTTGTGGTCAGGGGTCACATCTCATTTCTGTCCTTGTCCTCAGGGCAATGTGGCCACAAGACAGAAGGCAGAATTTGAGGGCAAGGACTGCCCTTGAGTGTACTTGGAGACAGGGCCCTGCAGAGAATTTGGGGTTTCTGAAACTTGCTTTTGTGAAGATCCAGTGACTCCCTCCAAGTAGCAATCCATCCCTCAATGAAGCAAAGGTGATCCAGCAGCTGTTGATGACCAGACATCACCCTGAGGTGCTGCTTTGCAGTGCAGACGG